CTGGGCTAGAAGGAAATCTGCTCCCTCCAGGCCCNACTATTTCTGCTTTTCCAGTAGGGAAGAGTGGGGTGTCTTCCCCTTCCCAAGATCACAGCTGTCTGGGCTAGAAGGAAATCTTGGTGTTTGACCCGAGGGATCAGCACAACACACAGCAAACTATCTAGATGAGTCTCATCCATCTCATCCATCTCATTCATTCATGCATTTGTTGAGTACCTACTAAGTGTCAGAAGCTGGTAATACACTAGTGATCAAAACAGACATAAAGCCCCAGTGGCCCTGAGGCTTCAGAAGATCCCAAAACTGAGGCCCTCTGTATTTATACACTCACAGAAATATTTGCAGTACCTATAACTAACAAAGGACTCATATTTGAAATATACAAAGAACTCCTACAAAGCAATAGGACAGAAAACCTAAGAGAAAACTGATCCCCCAAATGGATAAAATACTTGAACAGATATCTAAGTGGCAAATAAATATATGAAAAAGTGCTTGACTTCATTGGTTATCAGATATATGCAAGTTTAAACCACAATGAGATATCACTACACACCCATCTTAATGGCTAAATTTTTTTAATCTTTTTAGCTTGACAATACAAAGTGTTGAAGATATGGAGCAATCGGAATTCTAAGATGCTGCTGGCAGGAGTGTAAATTAACACGAGCACTTTGGAAAATTATTTGGTAGATTTACAAACACTTAAACACATCCCTACTCTGTGACCCATAGAGTTCTGTTCCTAGGTATATATCAAACAGAAATATGAACATAAGTAGACCTAAGGGCACAAACAAAATTGTTATAGCAGCATTATTCATAAAAACCCAAACTGGGAGCAACCCAAATGTTCATCAACAGAATAACAGGTGAATAAATTGTAGTATGTTCATTTACTGACATAATAACAGTAATGAAAATGAATACGTTAATGCTACCACAAGGTTATGCATTAATTTTTCAGGCATAATATTGAGCGAGAGAAGCCAGGCATAGAAAAATACTTACTGAATGGTTTCACTTATATAAAGTTCAAAAGCAGGCAAAACTAAGCTGTGGTGTTAGATAGAGGCTAACTTTGGGAAGGAGGCTGGGGTAGTGACTGGGAGGGGATTGAGGAAGGCTTCTGAGCTGCCAGTAATGGCCTAATTCTTGATCTGGGCAGCGGGTATATGTGTATGTTCACCGTGTCATGACTTGTTGACCTGTACACTAAGGCTTTGTGCACTTTCCCATGTCTGGTATATTTCAATTAATTCTTTTAAAAAAAAACACAGGAGAGAGGAACCATTTCCAGTTGGGGGGAAAAATGGAAGGTGGGGAAGGGATATGAGGGAGATCAAGGTTTTACATAGAGGGGGCTGAGCTGTGGCAAGATTACAAGAGGACATGAGAACTGTTGAAGGGAGCAGGGCAGGATTGTCTCTAGCCCCTGACTGAAAAGTCTCCAGGTACATCACACCCCGCCCAACCCCACACCCCCTATTCAAAAACAGATCCTTTGGGGTAAAACCCAATGTTTCCTACTTCTATCTCCAGGCTGGGAGATCTAGTGTTTGAAGCCAAAAGCGGGGTTCTACGAGTAGTCCCTGTGAGACTGCAGGCTGTGGATGGAAATGTCCCAGCAGTTAAACTGGAATAATCCTAAATACTGGAGCGGGAGGTTGTACGTGTTTTTATCTTTGTCCAAAGTTGCTGTGTTCTCTCTCCCCCTCCTTTTTCTCCCCCCGCCTTTTTTCTCCC